GTATTCTAACGATTTACTTTTATCCATTTTATCAATTCTATTTGTATCACCCAGATTTGCTGATTTCATATGCTATTCGATTATTCAAGATTTATAAAGGTTCTTGATCCATCTTATTTAGAAAGTGGAGTTAAAAAATGGATCAAAATCAATTTTGTTAAGGACACAACAATGTATTCTGTAATTGCTTTACTATTTGTTAAAAATGGCTCCACATTACATAAATTCGCTTTATATAAACCTTTCAAGTTTAAGCTAGAGGTCTTTTATTCATTAAAACGAAATGAGCAATTTTTTTCACAGTTATTTTTGAACATTACACCAGACTTCAACGTGGAATTAGTGAAGGTCTTGGCAAAAAACACTAGGACAATAAGTAGGACGCTTCGTATTAGATGGTGTATCAGAAATGTTAGATTATCAAATCAGTACTTTAGAAATAGTTCATCCCCCCAGATTGGTGCATGGGATATGATTTTAGTCTTACAAAAATGTGTAATATCCATACCAAAATTAGAGCTCCATTCTGAAGTATTTTTAGAAGACTTGGTATCTCTAAGAGCAATTGATACGTTTTGTCCAAACAATACATATCTTTACATTAAGAAGTTCTCTTATTATGGTGCAAGATTCGAACATAAAACATTAATTAATTATCAAAAACTCAATAAAATAGGAATTGCCGATGAAAATGATGATGGTGGTAAATTCAGTGATTCGAAGTGGCATGGAAATGGTATGAGATCCATAAAAAATAAAAAGAAGAATATTAGAAATCAAGAGAGAATAAAATAAAAGAATAATATAAGAAATGTGAATGGATATATGAACGTAATAAACAAAAAGTAAAAAAATCAGAAAGTGATGGAACATATGACCCTGAAGATAGTTATCAGGATGGAATTAGAAATAAAATGAACAATATGAAGGTGAAGTAAAACGCGATGATGATGGTAAAAACGTAAAAAGACATGTCAATAATAGAGAAAATCATGAATAAAAAAAAGAGATCTTACCTAATTCAAGAATAAACAATCAAGCTGCGATAGATCATTGTGATGTAGCAGGAGTCAAATAGCATATGAAATCAGCAAATCTGGGTGATACAAATAGAATTGATAAAATGGATAAAAGTAAATCGTTAGAATAC